TATGGAATCGAATAATTAACGTAATTTTTTAAGTTAAAATATTCTAATTAGAAAGACTTGGGTTTTCTTGATTTTTATATAAATTTTCTCTTTTTAAAAGTTGTAGGTGATTTGTGCATGTTGACAATGTGGTCAGTTTATCCTGTTCAGCCTTTGTCCAGTTACCTCATTAATGCCTAATGGTATTTAAATGGTGGAAATCAAAGATAGGGATCAGAGTAAATTAGCAGTTTCACCTATGGGCAGAATATTCTTTTAAAACTAAACTAAAATAATATAGTTGTGCATGAATTTCGTAAGTTTTACAAATATCAAGTTGGTCTGTAGGAAAAATACCAAATCCATGTACAGGACAGTACCAATTAGTGAGCTGAGTTAGGTCCTTATAGATGAACTAAGTAATGGTCAATCTGACTTGGTCACTTTGATATGTCTATATCTGTACCAAATATTCTCTTCTACAAAACTCATGCCTATTTCTCATCAGCACATCATCCTTTGTTATTATTCTGTTTAAGAGTGCAAATTCAAAATTTGTCTTTTTTTTTTTAAAATGAGACAATAAATGAGGATGGATCATTTATGCCCCTCCATAAAGCACCATATAGAGCTACCATTTGTCATTTAGTCTATGTTCATTTAAGTCTTGCCTTTTGGTCACTATGTAGTTGTTTTCAGTTGTAGTCTTGTTTTATATAGCTTGCATAGTTAATGCTGTTATTTATAATAACAACAGTTTTTACACAAAGATCAATCTTTACATAATGTACTGAATTAAGAAACCAGGATCATGGATATTACTGTATTTTGTTGTGCAGTGGAACTCGCATGGAAAAAAATCCCATTATAGTCATCAACCACTTATTAATTTAAAAATAACATTCTTGCAAGCTCTGTTTGTGTGTGTGTGTTCTGAGACATGTTTTGACTTTTCCTGGAGTTATCTCATTGACATTAGTTTAACTGAATTTAATTAGATATTGACCATGACTTGCTTTTCATCGTTTTGTTTTTTTATACTTTTGAAAGATTCTTCTTTGGTGTCAGAAACCATTATATTGTGGAACTATTGGGTTACCTTGTCATCCAACACTTTGCTTTTGTACAGTTTTGCAACATAATAAAATGCCATATATATATATATATATATATATATATATATATATATATATATATATATATATATATATATATATATATATATTGATTGATTTAATAATCAACATGAATAAATATTGAAAAATTGTTACTGCCATGTTGTAAATTACATCCATTGTAAAATAAGATTGAAATGTATATATGTACAGTAGGATGACAGTACATTGTATTTTTATGAATATGCACACATTACATGGTCTATAGTGCTAATAATTATCAGGTTTTATGTACCAATAACATAAATTCATCACATTTGTGCTAAGTTGCCCATTTTAATTCATCTTACCAATAAATTAGATCTCAAATTTGGACATCTGCTTGTTTTCATGTGTATAATTTAGACAGAATTTATTTGCCATAAAATCTATTTTTATTTGAACACTTTTTTTAAAAGCAGGAGCAACTTTGTTTTTAATCTAAGAACTTTTCATTTTTTTAAGTATTGGTTGAAATATAATGATAAATTGATATATGTACAAATATATATCAGTGATCCTAAAATTCTAATAGCTATTGTCAGACATATTTTCCACAGAAATTACCGTGATTGTTAGACAATTTTGAAAATTATTACAAAATCATTCAGAAAAGGTGTAAAAGGTTGTAGCAGATACAAATAATTGATTTACTTATTTAATGTACTTAAGGATATGTTATTTAGTCTTCAAGATTATCTGTTGCTTCTGTTTTAGTGTCACTCATTCATAACACACTAATCTTCAATACAATCATTTATTTATAAAAAAAATAATCATTTCTTTTAAAAAAAACTATCCATTAAATTTTTCTCTATTACAAGTATTTTGTGCCAGTCTTCCATTTACAAAATGGTTAATTTTAGTTGGACAGTCTTATTATATTGAAAAACACAACACTTAATTGTTGATGTCCAGCACAGTCTGAAAGTATAGTTTTATTTTCTCTGGTTGGGTGATGATAATAAAAGTTGATGGTTGTTAGTAGTATTCTTTTTTTTGATTTTATATATATATATATATATATATATATATATATAAATATATATATATATATATATATATATATATATATATATATATATATTTATATATATATACACAGAAAGAGAGGTAGGTAGGTAATACACACATACATTTATATACACACACACACATATTTCAGTGCTAACAAATAGACACATGTTTGAAAGAATATGGTGTAAAAGATAGATTATGTCTGTACCATATACCCAGGGGTTGTCAATCGGTTGTAGTGGTCTATTTGCTCCCATTTCTTATCAGATTTTGCAGGACTGCTAGCGAATAAAATATCTTTATTGAAAGCCAATCTTTGAAATTTACATCAGTATTACTTACTAAAGAATAAAAACGCCCTTCTATTCTCCCATTTAAACAGCTGTCTCTGACTTAATTAGTGACATTTTAAGAAACAGTGTGTATACCTATTTACTTTTTAAATTTTTTCAAATATTAAGATGTTCTTAATGGATAGATAAATTAAAGATGATATAAGAATATTTGAGGTATATGTCCAGTGATAAATGTCCATTTGCCAACAGCCTCTAATCATTCTCAGGCAAATACAAGATTTAGGGTTCCTGATTCATAGATACATACACACATGCAAACGGTATACATTTTGATCATTCAGGCAGTCGTATTTTTGTGGTGGTCATATTTTATATGGATTCAAGAACATTTAAAATGTCAAAATTACTAACCTAAGTTTTGCGATTTTAGAAGTATTGGAATGTTGCATATAAAGCAAGACATTTTGACATCGGTGTATAAAGTAGGTATAACGAAAATAGAAGTGTCTGTGGTTTAGAGAACTGTAGAGGCGAAATAGATCTTTTTCTAGAGAAAAGATCTTGATAATTGATGTATTTCCAAATTCATTGGACAACAAACATTTTCATGATTTCTGCTTTAAAAACGATGTGTATGAACAGAATGATTATGCAAAACGTTGTCATCTATACATGTGCAAAATAGGTTATTAATAGATCACAACCTTATCACAAAGCTTCTATGAGGCATCACTACTAGACTGGATCACTTGATTAACTAAATGTTGATTATGTGACAAAACCCATCTATACAACGATAGAAGTTCCATTCTAGAATCATGGTTCAACACTGGCTCCCCCTTCATGATTTCAGTATCTTTTCTTACTTTCCTCCACAGATTGTTGTTCTGTCTAATGAATTCTCTGATGTTTTCCCCAAGATATAGTATGCTTTGATTCTTTGCAGTGTTCACCAGTTGCTGTCAGAGATTCGCTGTCAGTGTATTAAGTATTATTTAACTCTTGTTTCAAGGCTTCTAGCAGTTTTCCCAATGTAGTCTTCTTCACAATTATCACACAGGAGTTATAGATGACAGAACTCATTATTCACAGGAGTTTAGTCTTTTGGATGTACCAAGATTGAGCAGATGATGCGATAGGGTGTAGCAGGTAACAATATTCATTATAGATCTTTGTTAATGTGGGAGAGATGCACTTTGTCTCTAGAATTTTTTTTTAGATCTATTGGATGAAATGTGTTTTTTCACCATTAAAAAATATTTGGACAGACACCTGGTACTTTTATCGCAGAGATGGAACACGCGTTACCAGATTTCGTTATGGAAGTGGAACTGTTCATGGCACATACTAACAACAAAATTTTCATTGATACTAAATCCAAACATTTTAAGGAATTTAACATGCTGGTGCAAAGAAAGAAACTTGAATCCAGTTTGAATAAGTTTACCAGAAACGGAAATTAACGTGCTTAGGAAGGGATTGAGTTTTGCTATTATACCATAATATGCTTCGGTTAAGGAAATTTTTATGTCTGCAAAATTGGCAGGCTGCCATAATTCCGATCCTGAAGAAGAACAGCAAATAACAATACCCAGAGGAGGAATAAGAAAAGCTATTAAAATCATGGATGGGTAACCAGTGTTGAACCGTGATTCTTGATTGGAACTTCCATAATTATACAGAAGGGTTTTGTCATGTGGTTAACATTTAGTTGATCACTTGACTCCAGTCCAGTAGTCATTCCTCTGAAGGTCTTGTAAATGTCGAAAGCTAAGAAATCATAACCTGTTATGCTACAAAAAAGGTATGTATTCTTAGTTTCAAAATATGTACCAGTATGGAAATCATTGTAGTTGTCTTCCTTGGTATTATAGCATATCCTACACAATTGAAACTAACATAAATAAATTCATGATTCAGCATTAAGTACAATAATAAATGACAAACGCTTTATAGGCCCCCTCGTCAGCCAGTTGTGTTATGGCATTGTTTGTCTTCTCATCCATTAACATTTGCTTGTCTGTCCCATAACTTGGTAATGGTTGCAGAGATTTCATGAAGCTTTGTCCAGGTACTATCACGGCAAGACAGTATTTGTAACCATAGCCATAATCCTTTCTTCAAAGTTAAGGTTAAAATAATGGAATGTGACTTTTGTCTTCGGCTGAAGTACATTTGAGCTACTTTAGCTAATCTGATGAAATTTTTCCCAATCCTATGTTTACATTAAAGAACGTTGTTCAAGTATATGTGATGGTGTGCTGTCTGCCATACTCACCACTCCAGCTTCAACGTCAAGTTCACTGCAAGGGAGAATGTAAGTCTGTGACTTGTATCATATTTCATTTGATAGGATGAACAATTTACAATATTTTATGAAACTTTGTTCAAGTATATTTCATGAGTAGAGATTTTTGTATATATCTTTGGAGTATAATTTTAGAGACATGAGCCAAGAAATTTACTTTAGAGAACGTTGCTCAGTCATAATGTATGATTAGATGGAGTTTCATACAGTTACCATACCACTTGCCTGTAGGTCAGTGTTCTGAAGGACCACTCCTTGGTGGCCTGGTGGTTAGAGCATCTTCCTCGGAAGTGGGAGGTCACAGGTTCGAACCTGGACCAAGTCATACCAAAGACATAAAAATGGTACAAATAGCTGTCTCACAAGGCGCTAAGCATTAAAATGTTAGTATTAGGACTGGTTGGCCTGGCGTCAGAAAAAGATGAATATTTGGAACACCATTGTTACGTGTCTACGGCACGATGTCCCAGTGCTTGACATCACTATAAACTGCCACACTGCAGACATCATAGCGATATGACAAAATATTTTAAAGCTATATTAAAAATCCAAATCACACACACACATACATACATACATACATACATACATACATACATATATATATATATATATATATATATATATATATATATATATATATATATATATATATATGCAACCAGTGTCCTGAAAAAGGAAATTTAATTTTCTCAAACAGGATATTATGTACTGTTGTTGCAATCTATATGCAAGGGTGTGTGTATGTGTATATATATATATGTATATATAGATGCAATAAACTGACGACGAACAGTACGAAACTAGTAACTAACTAGCCTAAGCGCTTTCGACTCTTAATGAGTCTTTTTCAAAGGCAAATACAAAACATAGTTACGACAAACAAATAAACACAAAAACGTTGCGTTTGTAAACCTCTACATTTCTATCTTCACATGTGCTAAAACTATAAATACAACCAGCTTGTATAGACTAGTTGCGGAAACTGAAAACGTTGTATAATTCCCTAAAAGTCTACAAGCCAAAGCGACATCTATTTTTACTTTGTGTACATATGTAACGCAGATTATATACCGGATATTTGGTTCTATACCGGTTATTCTTATAGTAAAAGTTGAAGGATAAGAAGATTTAGAAAATGTTAAATTCTACTAGTGCATAGTTTTCATTTTCTAGTCTTCTTGGTTTAGACCGCTTGGTTTCAATGTTCTAAGGCGGCGTATCCAGTATGATTCCTTTTCCTTCCTGGTTTCGGAACTCCAGCTGTGGTTGTTGGCAATAGCGATAAGTATTATATCACTGAAAGTGTGGCCAGGGGAGGAGAAGTGTTCTGCGACCGGGCTTCTGTACAGCTTTTTTGTCATCCAATCAGATCTATGAAGGTTTATCCTTATGTGTAGCTTTTCAGTTTCTCCCACGTACTGAAGGCCACAGATCTTACATGTGATGAGATAAATCACATTCTCTGTTTTGCACGTTTTGTTTGGACCATGTATGTTTAGTTTTTCTTTAGTCACTGTGCTAGTGACTAAAGAAAAACTAAACATACATGGTCCAAACAAAACGTGCAAAACAGAGAATGTGATTTATCTCATCACATGTAAGATCTGTGGCCTTCAGTACGTGGGAGAAACTGAAAAGCTACACATAAGGATAAACCTTCATAGATCTGATTGGATGACAAAAAAGCTGTACAGAAGCCCGGTCGCAGAACACTTCTCCTCCCCTGGCCACACTTTCAGTGATATAATACTTATCGCTATTGCCAACAACCACAGCTGGAGTTCCGAAACCAGGAAGGAAAAGGAATCATACTGGATACGCCGCCTTAGAACATTGAAACCAAGCGGTCTAAACCAAGAAGACTAGAAAATGAAAACTATGCACTAGTAGAATTTAACATTTTCTAAATCTTCTTATCCTTCAATTTTTACTATAAGAATAACCGGTATAGAACCAAATATCCGGGATATAATCTGCGTTACATATGTACACAAAGTAAAAATAGATGTCGCTTTGGCTTGTAGACTTTTAGGGAATTATACAACGTTTTCAGTTTCCGCAACTAGTCTATACAAGCTGGTTGTATTTATAGTTTTAGCACATGTGAAGATAGAAATGTAGAGGTTTACAAACGCAACGTTTTTGTGTTTATTTGTTTGTCGTAACTATGTTTTGTATTTGCCTTTGAAAAAGACTCATTAAGAGTCGAAAGCGCTTAGGCTAGTTAGTTACTAGTTTCGTACTGTTCGTCGTCAGTTTATTGCATCTATTTTAATTAATCCCTGACAGACGTGATCCCTTGGTGGATCCAGTACGCTTGAGAGGGTTGTTATTCGCCATATGATTTGTATTCTTTATATATGTATATATATATATATATATATATATATATATATATATATATATATATATATATATATATATATATATATATATAGTAGAAAAGGTTTTAGAAACAAATATGCATTGAACGATCATGAGCCTAGATGTATTTAATGTACCAAACTCTTATACACACCAGCAACAATCCATGAACAGTTAAATAGTCTGTTGTAATATCTGACATTTGTAAGTACATGTAGTATGTGGGGGCACCCTGTAGACAATGGGGACTTTGTGATAAATTTGGTCGTTTTTACTCTGGGGACAATGGGAATTTAACATTGGGAAGTTAGCTTAGGGAGTGTATAGTGGCAATGGATTGGGTCTGTCTAGGGACAATAGGAATTGAACAGGGGTGACGTCTCGGTACTGGACACTGCCAACAATGTTGCTAGTGGCTGACCTCAATCAGGAGGAACAGTGTGGCAAAGGGCTGACCTGAATACATGCTACTCTAGGGAAAATAGAGACAGGGTTAGAGACAGATATATGAACATATATCTCACAAAAAATCGACTTGAATATACATCTTTTCAAGGCATTGGAGTGGCTCTGATGAGGACCTCTTAACTTCTATTTTGTATCCTATTTTTTTCCTCCTTGCATCGACTCATCTTTTCCATCACATTTTTCGTCGTCTTCTTTTGATCATTCTCCTTTTCCTCCTCTTGTTTTGCCGGACCGACTTCATTCAAGTCTTTAACAGTTGTGCCTTCGGATGTTTCTATGCCAGTTTTGTATTAGCCACCTAAGCAGTTGACAAAATGTTGCATTTGTAGATTTGGAATATTTTCTTGTTGAAATTTTGCGTAATCAGCGTATTTATAAGGGCCGAAATCATTCCCAATCTTCTGGATGTAGGCCATTCATTATAACTTTAAGCTCCGCTTTGTCGACGATGGTTGGGTGATTTTGCCCGCCGTTCGAAAAGATCATGTTTGCATGGTGGTCTTCAAGAGCCAAACTGAAGACAGCGTTAAATATTTCGGGACAGCAGGCCGCACAGCCTGGGCTGTCCCACGCTTTAGAGCTTGTCCATATCCAGGGGAGGGGCTTATGGGACAGCAGGGGGAGGGTGTGTCCTGGACTGTCCCTTACCTTTGATACGATATCAAACACCTATATGCTAGGGTCATGGTAGGAAGTCTTCGCTCAGCAAGGGCTTGTCGAGGTTAGGATCCCACCCAGGCATTGCTATTATATTTTCCTCGCGCCTGTTTTATGTTCCCAGCTAGTATGTTTATCTGTGTGTGTGTGCGGGGTGGGGGTGGGTTGTGGGACAGCAGGTAGAGCCTCCTGGACTGTCCCTTCCTTTGATGCTTGTCTGGCAAGTTGTAGTTGGTTAGTTACATCTGTTCAAAAAGGCAATTGAAGTTATTACTTCTTTTCAATTTGGTGTTGTTGTATCTTGGTGCTGTAAATCTTTTCGTATTGGCAATTGATTGTGGTGTTGGAATAAACTTCTGTCTGCATTTGACGCATCTTCTTTACAAGTCTCATCCTCTTCTTCCTCTTGTTTAATGGCTTGTTAGTGGTCCTTGGAATTTTGATCCATCTGTCTAAGAGGTATGTTTGTCATCATGTCCGTGGTGGTCTTGTAGGTGTTATTATTTTAGTTTATGAAATTTGAGTTTGGCTCTCTAAGGGATAATACTATCGTGTATTAAGTCTATTCTATCACTGTTTAAGTATAGTTAAAGTAATACGATGAATATAAATCATTTGGATTTGGCAAAGTTTATTAGAGCCTGTCAGTTATGTAAAGTTATTTAAAATGTTGGGTATATAAAGAAGGGTATGTAAAGAAGATTGGATATAGTATGTTGGGTAGAATTGAGAAGTTAGTATTATATTATGTTGTTATATTCATAATATTAAGATAGTTCATTTATTATTACTATTTATTATGAAATTATGATGGTTATTGACCTACTCTCCGTTTTATATCCCTAAAGCACGGACGTGAAGGAAAACATCTCGCACCAACTACCCATATCACATACCAAACAATCTACAGTGATGAGCTCACCTTAAATAAATTTTTATACAAAACAACACATTAACACAAACATATCTTCTATCAATACATAGTAGAAAATGAAAACTTTTATTTATAAAATACAACATCATATCAGCAAAGGAGTTAGTATTTATAGTCGCACTACTTCACATTCACACAAAAGCATACACGAGTATAGGGACAAGGGGGTTGTTAAGAGAAAAAAAAGACAAACATAAGCTTATTTTGTGCAAGGACAATGGCTTTTTGTTAAGAAAAAAAAAAACAAATGTATGCGCGCACACATATACAGGCGCGTACGCGCGCACACAAACAAAAATACGCGTACGCATACAAACAAAAAACACTTTCTTTTAAGCCAGGAAACGATCTATTTATAATCTCATCTTCTAGGAAAGTCCTATGAACTAATCTAGTATATATTTATAGCTACAACTTGTGGAAATTCCAATGAAAAACCCAATATATAGTTATGGCCTCTATTTAAAAGCTCTAGTATCTATTTATTGCTACAACCTGTGGAAAGCCCCATGGAAAGCCTCGAAAAGTACATTTATTACCTCCGTCAAAAATATGTATAAAAAACGGGCTACCATGCCACAACTTTTATCATTAGTGATACAATATATTCCTTACAACATATTCCATGGAAAGAAAGTCTAACGACAGTATTAGGACTGGTGGATTCCCAACACTTTTGACGAGTAATGTATCCAATGAATTTCGGTCGTAGTGTGGTGTGTTTTAATTACTTGCTTTCTGGGATTTTGTTTACCAGCCGATTCCTTGTGGGCTCTGTACCATCTGTACATTCTGGAAGGACCCCTGCGTGACTGTGCCAAGTGTATAGCCTCTAAGAACATTACAAGCTGTCCCTAGGACACCTACGTCACCAGAATGTTGTACGGTTACTTGTTATT